ATTTTCCTTTGTATGTATGTATGCTTTATTGGTGATTTATACTTACAAGTATTTTCACACGTCATTTTTTCACAGACATTGACCATAAATTATCTACCAATACAATATAAATTTAAAACCTATTTTCTTAGACAAGATGACAATTAGGTAAAATGACAAAGGACAAAATAAATATACATTTAGACAACAAAATCGCAACATCTTCACAGAGCTAGCATTGAAATCCCTATGATGCGTTACGCAAGTCACCACCCTGTATTCGCAACCTACACGCTTAAATTTTAAAAATGTCCAATTACTGATTCGTAGGCCCACAAAATACAAATTACTCAGTCTGAAACGATCAGATTGTAGACGGATTATCTGATAATGGAATAACTTTAAAAAATTAAAGATGCAGTAAACTCATTACACAAATAAATGTAAGCCCAATGGATTTATTAAGAAGACAAGCTATCAGCCAAGACGCATACACAGCTTAACAGCTCTAAAATCAGTGATTGATAAAAACCACTACATTTACAATTTCTGGCATGCATAATGATAGTGCAACTTTTATATTTGCGATTCTATTTATAAATAAGTGCAACCACATAAAGGTAGTTATTGTGAACATAAAGTCAAAGGACATAATATATTATTTACTTACTACAAATACTGATTGCAAGTACAATATACATGTGTATAATAATTTATTAAATACTTCAATAATTCACTTTTAGAATATATAACAATATACAATAAAGCTACTGTTGGGTATAACATCATTACTAATATTACCGTAATGATCGCATCTTACTTTTTGGAAAAATGCTATACAGAACTTTATTTATTTCTCTGAATTTTTCCAACACCTTGTCCGGAAGACTATCATACAAGTAACTAACAACACGACCATCGCCATATTTATAACGTATTCTGTGTTTGTCATCGATCCATATTTGTTCTCCATCAAAACATTGCACATATAATCTTCCGTCGGGTAATTGTTTGGCGATACCCACACCAGAGACTGTCATTTGTTTGTCCCTTGTATGAGAACTATTGGTAACAGTAGATTGGGCAGCTGTGCTAGCCATCGACACACTGAATGATGGCTGAAACATAAGACTTGTATGCTGGTCCATCCAATAAAACACTATCACTAATAGAGACATTAATAGATGTAGATTATTATTACTGTGAATGTTTCAAAGGGTCTCAATGATCTGCAATGGTTTACAAGATTTGCCTAGAAAGAGCTAAGCAACTGCTATATTGTTTAATAAGAGCAACCTCCACTAGGCTTGCACAACGGCTGTGTTACTACTAATCATTATTATTGACATAAAAAATGTGACCAAAGAGAGGAACTTACCAGCGTATTAAATTGATTTTCCTTATTAGAAAGTGAAGTATTAGGTCGGCGCCCGACAATTAATGGAAAATTTTCACCTGGCAACTGGTTCATATTACTTTCTATCTGAATACAATGCATTTTAAGTTCTTGAGCACAGATCCACAAATCGTATAAAGATTTTGGCAATGTATTACATTCACCAACTGCCTGCAGTTTCCTACATATTCCATTTTCGTCGGTTATAGTAATAACTGACACATCATCGGTCGTGTGTTGTGCTACTTTTGCTCCTGAAATGGCTATACAGTATTAGCATAACAAATATACTCAAGATTACCATTATAAAACATGATCTCAAAGTCCTTCAAGTTCTCCATAAGAAAACACTTAGCTTTAGAGCTGTAATAAGTGACCTTAGGAGTCTTTGCTTTAACAAGATCCACAAATCGTGAGGCATAGAGATACTTTTTCCAATGGACTTCTGGCAATTTTTCAAAATCATATGCGTAATAATTACCATCACTTGGTAAAAACGGCGGTTCACTAGTTGGTGGAACTTTTCCACCTTGTGGTTCATATACATATATATTAGAACCATCAGGAGATATTCTTAATACTTCACGCACTAACTCCTTTTTCTTCGATCCATATGTTAATAAAAACTCAACGCATACCTCACCCGTTTCTAGTATACTTAAAATACATTTTTTTGTTTGATGCCTAGTGGGGAATAATCGGGAAGAACATAATCTAGAAAAATCTTTCTGTTTTGATTTTTGAAATTGCATCAAGTTGTCCGGAGGGTGTTCTTTTAAAAATTTTATTTTCTCTTTACAGTAATCTTCATTTGCCTCACAATGGCACGAATTAGAGGTTCTTAAAGAACAAGATGAAGAAGGAAAATGAGGATTGTTCTGTCCATTTACCAAATGGCAAGGGTTACTACAGCAACTATGACCATGACCTGCACATTCCATTGACACATGGTTAGATTTAGATTTGCAACATGATGAAAAATGTGAATGACAGCTTTGGTCAATTGGTCCTTGACATTGTAAAACAGCTCTTCCATGATCTGTGCTTTTATTTGAGCATTCAGAAAAATGCCCAATGTATGGTGAGCAATCGCTATTGCTCCGCAAAATCACATTTGATGGATAACTCTTCTGTATGGCGCTATCACTAAATGCGCTATCTCTCCTACTAGACATTGTATGAATGCCACTATCTTGTGTTAGTCTTGAACTGGACGTTCCATTTGAATTCTAAAATTAAGCGTTATAAGGTGATAACGATAAGTTTTTAAACGTAAAACAAACACAGCATCTCCCATTGAGCGTCCGACCTTTTACTTTTCAGAACTATTGTTGGTACGCATCGTCTGGGAGATACTGTGTTAATTTAATACATACATCATATCGTTTTATAAATGGATGTTCCAATATCATATCCAATTTAATTCGATCTTTGGGATTCTTTTGCAACAAAGAGTTAATAAGATCTTTTACTTCCGCGGAGAGAAAATTTGGTAGCCTATAATTTGCTGTTACAACTCGATTTAAGGTGCTACGAATAGCATGATCTTCAAATGGTGGTGTCCCCACTAGCAATGTGTATAACAAGCATCCTAAACCCCATACATCAGCCTCCAATCCATGCTGAGTGCGAGATGCAACTTCGGGAGAAATAAAATTTGGAGTACCACACAATGTAAGATGTTTCTCATCAGGTCTTGATAGTTGAGTTGCCAGGCCAAAGTCTGCTATTTTCTAAAAAAAAAATTGATATACATCCACTACTGTAATTAAAAAAACGACAAAATTGAACGTTAAATTAGAATCAAAATTTTGCATTATACAGTGTTTCAAAAAAAAGGTCGGATATTTTATCTGCTATACAGTGTGTCCCAGATCGCGTGGGATTGCATGGGAACTTTCTTATTATTAAAGATAAAGAATTGGTTAAATGGACAATGTTTTGCACAAGGTTTTACAGTTTTAGATGCTTATTAGACAAATAGGTTCGACGTAAATTCAAAAAAACTAAAATTGGTCATTTCCTTGAATGTCTTATATCATCAAAAGTATACGAGATATAGAAACAGTTCACTTGATAAATTTTTTAGTTCTCTTTTCAACGAGCTATCATAGCATAAGATTGAAAATAAGATACCAGTTATATCAACGGATTTTATATCTTAATCAAGTAGTCTGTGATAAAATCAAAAAAAACAAAAGTACCCAAAATTGGTCTTCACACATAATATAGAGGTGTAAAAGTTTTCAATGCCGAAAACGAATTTGATGTGTTTTTGTTGACTATATTTTTTTTGCAAAGTTGGAATACATGGTCGTTAAAAAAGTGTGCAAATACTGAGGATCCTTCGATATTTCGTTGTATCGGTTCATTTCAAGTAAAACTACAAAACACAAACGTCAAAAAATACAAAAACAATTTTATGGAAAAGAATAGAAGACTACGATTTCCCAGGTAGGAAATATTGAAAAATAACCAAGATACCTACCTACAAAGAATCGTGTACGATTTTCAGTAGGGGAATTTTTTGACACTGATCATCACAAATAATGTCAGATTGTTTATAGGCGCTTTCTTTCGGCTACTTCGCGATCATGACTTCAAGATAGTAATTCGTAGGATCACGTTTTACGAAAGAACGCGCGAATTTAAATCAAAGTATGGTTTAAGTTTATGTAGTACACATTTGCATTCGAATTACGTATTTTGTGTTTGGATTATGAAAATAATTTAAATACAAGTGGAAGTACTTGCACGAATAATATGCTCCTCTTCAGTTACAAATATAACCTAACATTTGAGCAAAAATATCCTTGCATTTATAGGTTAGGAATTCGTGATCATAAAACTTTTATGTTCAGTTTGTTCACGATTTTAGCAATCATGATCATAAGATCACACTTCGAAAGAACGTGATTTGACAATCCAAACGCGTTTGGATCACCGAAAGAAAGCGCCTTAGATCCAAATTATATTTTATAGCTCGGCCTGATGTTGACCACAATAAGTTGAAATCAATAGCCTAAGAAAAAATAAATAAACGTGTCAAAATATCATTAAGGGACAACACTGTCTGTGTTTTTAATAATGTAATTTGTTGAAGACAATATAAAATCTCAATAAAAAAGTACTATACGTAGATAAAATATCAAACCTTTTTTGAAACACCCTGTAATGTATACAACACTAAATAAAAACCAGCTTACGTAAAAATTAATTTATTTGTGTATAAGACATTTTTCACTCGAAGGTGAAAGTATGTTTGCACTGTCTAATACAACCTTCATTTCTTGTTTTAGGAACGAATTTCAAGACAGCGTATATAATTTGTGACAAAGAAGAACAGTAATAGATCAAACATGGAATAGAAGACCAACTTCTTATTTGTGTAGTGTAAGATGTAAACAGTAACACACTAAATTTTGATGTTGTAATCATAATATAATCTTAGTAAATAGGGAGTGTTGCTATAATTTCTTAATTATTGTCAATTTTTACTGCAAAGCCCTTAGCCCTAGCAATAGATTAACTCAAAACGCCAATTGAATAGTGGTTTTTTTTGCTAACTAACCACCGTTTCTGAGATTTCGCCCAAAATTGGTATATCTTAACGTCCATTTTTTGCACTCTTATTCCTAATTATATTGATGTATCATCAGATATTTTTTATATAATTATATATATTATATCATATTTTTCAACATTTTGAAATGACATGATTTTACCATCAGCCCTTTTTATTGATTGGTATTGGGGGCCTTAGTTACTATGGAAACAATAAACAAAACAAAATCTCAGTAAATCCATCGCCTACTATTTAAGTTCTTATTGATTTTCATGGCTAAAATTTAAAAAATATAAGTTGTAATTCATCAATGTAATCAGGAAAAGGAATGCAAAAAAACTGAAATTCTGTTTATAGTAAAGTTTCACTTGGCACAGGGACACGAAATTCACAAGTCTCTATCCTTAAAAACAGCCGAGATACACTACAGTCTGAACCAAAATAAGGCACACCGTACAATTTTGGCAGATCGTGATGGGCCGCAGTTATAAGAACGGCGGGTCCTGTGTTCGACATACCTGCATTACGTGAACGTCACACTCATACTTAGGTATACACATACTTTATACAAAATTCAAATGTACTAAGTTACAACAGAAGGAAACTAAGAAGACTCTGAACAATCTCTGATGGCAGATTTATCCAAGTGCAAAGTAAGTTTCGCTGCGGCAACTTGTTTTACTCAAAAATTCGTTTTTTAAAGAGAGGCATAAAAGGCAAACCCAAAGAAGCAAACAGATTCAGGAATATTTGACATAATTACAAGAGTTCATCAATTCTTTTCGACTCGGCCGATCAGGTCTGGATTCTGGATTACGATAGGAGGGTGAACAGTGTCCACGCGTACTTAGGCCTCAAATTCGGGCCCTTTGTACTACCTCCCTGACTAGGGTCGCCCGACCCCTCAACGTCACTCAAGCCATCCCACGCGTGAGATGAACCTTAGGACGCTGGAAGGGAAGGCGGATCTAATCGTAGCCATTGTTTTATAATGAAATGGACTGTATTCCAAAAATTTTGCACTTCCCCTTTAGATGTAACTTGATTAGATATCGCACAAGGGATAAGGACAAGTGACAAGATTACGGAATGGAAAGGGTAAATGCAAGGATGAATTTTCACGAAACTATTAGTTCATTGATCGGCCTTTATTTATTTCACAGAGCGAATTTTAATTGCTTTTAGTAATTGTATCTTTTAGTAATTGTATCAACTAACTCTCGCGACGGACTTAATGCGAGTGTCCAGTTGAGTTATCTACTCAACCCTGGCAGATTAGAATTGTATGGGAAACTCCGGAAAATAAATTGAATTATGCTTTTAAAACCAAACATTTCCCACCACCCTGAAGAATACTTCAGAATCTACAGTAAACACAACGTCAGTAAAATTCTATATAATGAACTAATTATGTAATTACTATGAAATTTAATAGAGTAATATAAAGAAAGGAGAGAAAAAAAAAAAAAAAACTTCCATCAAATAATATTAAGAACAAAAAAAAATTCTAAATAACAAAACTATTGGATTATTGAGTCGGCAAAGGGCATACCTTTGTGACAGGGCGTCTATAAGTTCCATTCTTTGTTTTCACCCCAATTACTCGCACAATTCCATAATTGCCTGGAAAGACTTCCATGATACGACCTAAAGGCCATTGTAAGGGTGGAAGATTGGGTTGCTGAAGGAGAACAATTGTACCAATTTTGATCGGGTTATTCAATGTATTCCACTTTTCACGTGTTTGCATGGTATGTAAGTACTCAATGCGCCAGCGTTGCCAAAAGTGTTGCACCATGTGATCAATTAGTTGATACCTACTTAATCTACTAAGGTTAACATCCATTACATTAATTGCTGGCAATCTGTCTAAAGGAGTAAGAGTCAGAAAATGAGCCGGTGTGAGTGCAATGGGCTCAGCTGGATCTGAAGAGAGAACGCACAATGGTCGGGAGTTAAGGAGACATTCAATTTGAATTAAGAGAGTGTTCAATTCTTCGTACGTCAATAATTGATCACCAACAATTTTAAGTAAATGCGACTTGACGCTTTTTATATTCGACTCCCATAATCCACCCATATGTGGAGCTCCAGGAGCTATAAAATTCCACTGTATCCCCTTTATAGTAAGCTCGGCTTCAATTTGAGTTTTAAAGTTTTCTGACCTAATTAATTCAAATAAATCTTTTAATTGAGATTTAGCGCCCACAAAATTACTTCCTCTATCTGAGTATAACATGGTACATAACCCGCGTCGAGCTAAAAATCTTTTAAATGCTTGAATGAAATTAGATGTCGAAAGATCGGAGACCAATTCTATGTGAATCGCTTTCACTGCAAGGCATACAAATAAACAGATATATGCCTTTTGACTACGAACACCTCTATGCCGATTTAAAACAATACGAAATGGTCCAGCGTAATCTATACCTGTTTTCAAAAAAGGTTTGGCTTCTTGTACACGACAAGAAGGCAGATTCCCCATTAAAGGATATTCTGGTTTTGGTCTAAACTTGAAACACACATTACATTTATTAATAATGTTACGAACCACGCCACGAGCTGCTAAAATCCAGTAATGTTGGCGTAGCAAGGACAGCAATAAGTTAGGTCCCGTATGAAAATGCTTACGATGATAATATTCAATTAACAAATTCACCAAATGGTCTCGTTTGGGAAGCAGAATGGGATGTTGACTGTCAAAACTTAATTGTGAATTTTCCAATCGCCCGCCAACTCTCAGTAAGCCATCTCTTAGGAACGGTCTATATTTAACAAGTGCTGCTGAACAAGTGCCTGTATTTTCTAGTAAACGAATGTCGTTTATAAAATGTCTCTTTTGGACTATTTGTAATAAAACATTTTCTGCGGTTTCCAAGTCTACAGCGGTTAGTTGACCTCTGCCCGGCAAGCGTTTTAAGAAGCGTAGAACAATAGCAGTGGTACGTAACAATTTAGTCCACGAAGAGAATCGCTTGATTAAAAGATACAATGGATTTTCGTCTATGGGAGCGACAATCGTGGAAAAATTTTGGGTTTCTAGAGAATTTGTAACCAAAGAAGGGGTTGTAATTGGCCATTGCTCTGGATTCAATTTTAACCAATTGGGTCCCGTTCTCCATATATTATGTTCTATAAACTGCGGCGGGGTCATGCCCCTAGACAATC